GGGGGTGCTGTGCGTGTGGAGCAGCGTGTACGCGGTGAATGAGCGCGCCGTGAGTAATGCGGGGGTGGGCGCCGGCTGAGGGGGTGCTGTGGGCTGCCGTGGCCCCCGTGCGGGGCTGTGGGGAGATGGGGAGCCCACGGGGCTCACCCCAGCTGTATAACCCCTTAACCCCAGCGCTGTCCTCTCCTCCTGGGGGGCTGTCACCCTGAATTGCTTGGGGACAGGGCTTCAGAGCAGAGCTGGGGCTCGCCGTGTGCCGATGCCCTCACCGGGGCTTTTCCCCTTGCCGTGGCCTTCCTCCCACACTGCCTTCTCCTTGCCAAGCTGAGAAGCAGCAGCGCTGGCCCTGGGCAGCCCTCTTGCCTGGCTCTCCGAGGGCTTTCCAGGCATTAATCGGCTCAGAGGAGGAAGGAGGGTGCGTTATCCCTTCTTATGGAGTGGGGGAGGAGAGCCAGGACGTGACCGCACCGGGAGTGGGTGTCAGAGGAGGGATCTGGCCTCCTGGCATTCCCAGCAGCGCCGTCACACCGAGGGGCTTTTCCTCCCTCTCCCACGGGTGTGACGCTGTGGCACCACACGGTGAGTGGGGAGGCTCGTGGATCCGGCAGGCGGGTTTGCGGAGAGAGAATTTGGCTTCGCCAGCCCCAGGCGAGGACTCCTGTCAAGGAGGTTCCCTGGACACCACGGCGGGCGATGCTCCTGGCACTGACCTTGGCCGGTTGGAGCGGTTTGGCACGGCGGTGCCGGCGCTGCATTCCCTGCTTGATCCCGGTGCAGAGCTCTTCTACACAAGGGATGGAGCCTCTTCGGCCATGGAGGGGTCTGGACTGGCAGCCGCCGGATTTGGCACGTGCGGCTTTGGCCCCACTCTCTTCTGGCAAGGCAATGGTTTGGCACTGGGAACGGCCAAGGGCATTGGCCCAGCTCCCGTTTCCATCGTTCCCTGGAGGATTTGTGCTCCTCTGGACCTGTTGGATGGGAGAGCGCGGGGCAGGGAGGGGTGTGAGCGTCTCGGTCGATGACTTGGCTTTGCCAGAGGGGTTTGGCAGTGGTGCTTTCCCAGCTCGGTTGCCTTTTGACTTGGAAGATGCTTTGCCGGCGATGAGCGAACCCTGCAAGTTCCTCTCCGGAGCTGCACCAGGGTGGGACAGCTCCTGTTCACCTCTAGTCCTTCGCCTTGGAGGTCGTGCCTTGAGGCTGGAAGAGAAGCCCTGCAGATGGGCGAGCAGTGGGTCCAGCCCTGTTCCGTGCCGATGGAGGATCCTTCCCTCTCCCTTTCCCTGCGGGAGGCATCTCCTGAGCTGGGAGCCCTGAGCGACCAGCTGGCCTTTGGAAAAACAACTCCCTTCCTCCCGCTCCACGGTGGAGAGGCTGGCGTTGGTGGGAGGGCTGCCTGAGCCAGGAACAGTGTGATTCAGGAGCTGCTGGCGGGCAGCTCGGAGCGCTGCCTGCATCCCAGTTTTCCAGGAAGGCTGTGAAGGCACTGGAGTGGTACATGCTACTCTGTGGAGAGGGCAATGGGCAGCCTGCCCATGGGTACTGGTGCTGTGTGGGGCTGGGCTGGGGGGCACAGCACCCTGGCAGTGCCTCCAGGTGCAGGAGGTCTCCTCTGGGATGGGTTTGGGCACCAGCCTCCCCCTGCAGCAGCTCGCTCAGCCCCGTGGCATGCGAAAGGAGCTCTCAGGGAATGCACAGGTAGCTGCTGGTTGTTGCTGGGAGATGATGGTTCCCACGAGCCAGCTGCCATGTGGCACTTGGGGATGCTCTACTCCAGGTGGTGTTTAGAGGGAGGGGGCGCAGGGGACCCCCAGGTGGGAGTAGGGTGACTGCAGGGAAGTGATTTTCTCACTTGCCCCATCTCTGTGCCTCTCCGAGCACCAACCTGTGCTACCACGTGCTCGCTGAGCTGCTGCCCAGCCAGGCATGTTCCCACCTGAGTCATTCCAGGGAGCAGGGACCCACCATGGGGCTGTTGTGGGGCAGCACTCCGTGCATGCACACTCCCCTAGGGATACCAGGGAAGCTGCCAGCCTGCATGGGGGTGGTGTTGGTGGTCCCACGGGACATCTCTTGTGCCAGGGACGGGGTTTAGAGTCACTGTCTCACTGTGAATGGGGCACTGAGCCACCCCTGACAGCAGCTAATCCTTCTCCTCGCTGGCCCCGTGTGACCTTGAGGCATGTCGCTTGACCTGCGCGCTGCCCTCCATCCATCTGGAAAATCGGGTTTAAAACGCAGGAATCGCGCTGAAAGCCCAGATGCTGCTTTCCAGCTGGGGGAGGGGGCGAGGGCTGCGCTCCGGGGCTCTGGGGCTGCCCCACATCAGGGGACAGGGGGAGGCTTTTGGGGGGCTCTCGGTACCCCTGGCCAGGGAGGGGGGGGATCGAGTTTGCAGGAGGGGGTGCAGCCCCCCCGAGATACTTGGGGGGGTTATGGAGGTGGGGGGCAGGTGTCCCATGCAGTACCTTTACAGCAGGGTCCCTGCAGCACGTTGTCCCTGTCCCCACCACGGGCTGCAGTCGCCTCCCTCCTCGTTGCACAGCGATGGCTGCCTGCTCTCCTTCCCTGCTGGCCTCCATATGCCACGCTGGTGGCCTTGTCCTCAGAGATCCCTGCCATATCCCGCCTCCACCGATGTGAGCGGGATGTGTCAGAGCAGATCTCGTCTGTGCTCGGCAGGGAGGAGAGGTCCACAGGCTCGGGGCCCCGTGCCTGCTCCCCCAGCCGTCCCCACGGGGGAACAGGGATGGGGATGAGTGCCTGGGGTAGGGGGGCAGTGTTGGAAGCAGATAGTGGTGCCTCCATGCTTGTTAGCAGGCTGCAAGGAGATAGTAGGTCACCTCTCTGACTCAGGGCATGGGTGTCCGCTGTCCTGGGCAGGACAGCCTTCCCAGGCATTGGTTCCTTTGGAAACCTGGTGGTTTCCAAACCATGGCCACCTCCTTGTCATGAAGCACCTGCAGGCAGGGTCCTGCTTTAGCAAGTGCACCTGAGATGCTGGCAGCCTTCAGCTTCACCGAGTCCTGTGTCACCTTACATCTTTGCCTTTGGGATGGGAGGACTTGGATGCCCAGATCCAGGTGAGGGTCTCCCCATCCCTGGCATCACCATGCTGGGGAGCCCCGTGGTGGCACCGTCTCCGTGGCGGCAGCCTTCCCTCCTCTCCCTTTGGGATGCTGTTCAACTCCACCTCCGCATCTTGTATTCTTGCCTCCTGGCACGCGGCGTGCTTTTATTTTCCCTGGATCTGCTTGGATGATGAAGCCTGTTGATTACTTGTTTTTCTTTACGAGGCATCCCCCAGCTTCACGTGAGCTCCCGCACCGAGGGGGATTCAGGGCTCCCATCCCTGCTGCTGCTCGCTGATGGCGACCGTGTTTCCAAACTGCAGGTTAAGCCTTGAAGCCCCTCTGAACTTGGCTGGGAAGACCAAGTGGGTTTAAAAATACCCTGTCTATTTGTGCTCTGTTTCTTCTGGCGTCTGCGAGTTGTTTTCAAGCGTTTCCCTGCAAATGTGGGGGTGAGAAACACTTTGGATCGAGAGCTGCAGCCTCCCATCGCTCGCGTGCCTTCTTGGCCTGGACTAGGCAGGAAAACCTGGTCGGGGCTGGGAGCGCGGGGTTGGGTTGGGAAGTTGAGGAGACCCAAAGAGGGTTTGC